GGAAGTGTAGTTTGTATGTCCCATGCTGCAACCATGCTGTATCAGTGTGTCACCTTTCAAAAACAATGCTCGATAATTTGCCTGATCGTCACGAAATGAGGGAGTCAGACACACGACCAGCATCGATCCCACTGACGTAGTAGTACTGGCAACACTTGAACTTAATCTCCGGTTCCAAATATCACAAGCAATCGGTCCCGGGTAGCTCTTTATAAACGTACAGGATCTACAATACTATGAACTCAGCAGCGGCCATCCGCAAGAGGAAGGCAAACAGGGATGAGTCAATGTTTAGCCGTTCATTGTGAAGATGTAATAAGCCATCATAGCGCAGGTCTCGTTCGACGAGATAGGTCCGACGATCATGAGCAGTCAGGGGCGACCGGTGCGAGCAACTAAAGGCAGACTGCGAGGATCAGCGGTTCACGCTGGAGGGCTTGATGATGACAATGATGGCAGAGGCATGGTTGGGGTGAGGATTCAGCGAAGACTCCGGCGACGACATTGGCTGAGACCCAAAGTGGCTCTAGGGTGGGCATAGGCAAGACGGACCGTCCAAAGTAGATATGCTAGATGCAGGTATGTGCAGAATATACATTCCTCGGCATTTGTTGTGAGTATAGCATGACTTGCCATTGGAAGTGCTAATTACCGTCTCATGGCATGACAATGTTACAAGATGCGCGCTGACATCTACTCGACGGCCCTGGCAAGCTGTCCCGAGGCTGAGGAGATCGATCGAGGAGGCTTGTTTGTGCTGATGCGCCAACTATTGGGACTTATAAGATATATTGAGCAACACATACATCCGGCTGCCCGTCGAGCTAATCGACATAGATCGTCGGGTTGAACCATGTGCAAGGGCACGCTAGATAAATTCTATGGTTACATGACCTCCACTAACCCAGTGTCCACACGGGGCCCGTTGAGGGGCGATGAGCGATGAGGTAGAAGACGCAAGGACGCCATCAGCCCGATGCATGCCGGTACGCTCGAACGGGGAAAATTGAATCTTGGATGTAACATGATCACGGGCAGGCAAGCATATACGTGGATGAATTCACCACTCACCAAAGCAAGCAAGTGGTTCAAGACAATAAGAACTCCTCGCTAATACCCCTTGAGCTCCGCTATGCGGCCGCCATGCACTGATAGTAGTGCAGATTAGCCTGGCTCGCGTTAGGGCTGTAAACAATTGCGTGGGTAGACGACTCGGGCCAGAAGGACACGAGAGGGACCAAAGCGAGCGGAGGAAGGGACAGCATATCACGAGAGGTGATATAGCAGGAGTCCAAGAGGGATGCTTATTGTCTTTGAGCCGGCGGCGAGATGGCTGGAGGCGTCTTGAAAAGGAAGTTGTTGTATTTATCGGGTAGGACCCTCGACACTCGCGTGTAATTGCCCAAGCAAGGACAATAAGCGCGATAGATGCCGTCAATAGACAACAAAACAGCAGGTATTGGGGTGTCTGGGGGCGCGCTTCTCTGTCGAGCTGTGGGCGACTGTGGTCGCGCTGCAGTGTACAACCCCGGCGTCTGCAGATTGTTTATAGACACTCGAACAATGGCCATTGTCTGTCGTGGACGCGGTTCACTTTTGTCCCCTTCGCGTTCAAAAGGGAGCATCCAAACTGGTGGTCTCCTCATCACCAGCTAGTCTTGTGTTCAAATCTGCTTAATCGCTTTCTTCCAGTCTCCTTGCATCGCGTCTTGCTCTCTCCTCTGTAGCTCTATCGGACTCGCTGTGAAACCAATCCATCTGTAGCCATCTATTTTCCCGAGGACATCTGTATAGAGATCCGCATCCTCTCTGTGAGTGTTTTTGTGGCCGTGCACGTACCATGGCACTGAGACTCCTACCATGATAGGATTTCGTTTTACTTCATCAACCGCTTTTGAACCTCCTACCATATACATGTCTACTGCTCTCATTCAATCTTCCAACACAACTATAGCAGTCGCTCCATCGAACACAGCTTACTCGTTCCTCTCGCACCCACCGCCTCAGAAGAAGCGCCCCACACAACCTTTACCATCTCCTCCTCACGTTCCTGACAGTCCGTCGAAACCAATTATTGGCCGTCGTAGATCTGCTACGACATCTGCTATTACCGCGTGGATTGCTACTGTGCAGCCGGGATCTCCAGCTCCTCCAACCCCTCAGCGCCGACCTTCTCTTTCGAGTCCGCGCCGACCATCTATCTCTCCACGCTCTGTCTCCCGGCGTCCCTCAGCGTGCTCTGCCCGTGCTCCTTCCGGGTCTTTCCTCAATATTCTTGACACGCCCACGACTGCGAGCCGTATAACTCCATCGGTGAAGGACTTCAAGCACGATCTTACCGCGGTCGGATACGCTTCAGTCTTCGTTCACTTCCCCAATACTCCGTCTTCAACCGCTTATCCTACCTTTCCGGATAGACCTTCCATTGTCGCAGTTCCTGAAGTTCCTGCTTCAGAAGTCGCAGAGAAGCCCGCTCGTCGAGGCTTGAAACATTTCCGTTCCCTCGCAGCGTTGACGTCTACTCGTGCGCGCTCTAAGTCAACGTCTACGCCAACAGCTATGCCTTCTGTTGCTCTCGCCAAGGCCTGTGCGCCTCCAGTCCCTCTCACGTCACAGCACATGCGCGTCCAAAGCAACGAGTCTGTCAGCAAAAACAAGAAGTCCAAGTACGCCAAGTACCGCCCCCCGCCCCTGGCTTCGGAGCTTGCCCTTGCGCAACTTGCCGACGGAGGCAAGATGGATGATCACATTCGACGCTTCGCAGAGGCGCAAGCGCGTGCTGGCGGTGCGACGATGGTTGATGGTAAACTCGTCGGTGTTGGAGATGTCTGGAGAGATGGAGCAGGCGGGG